TATTATTATATTCCTTATTAATATTTTAAGTGTGTGTTTACTTATCTGTTGCCTCTCGGTGTTTTAACGGTATAACCAATCATCATAAGTTTAAGTATATTATATAGTAAAAAAATTTGCGATGAAAAGGGATATAAGCAGTTTTTTTTATCTCGGTTATTCAATATAAACCCGGTCACGAGGACGAAATCGCGGGTAAAAATTAGTGTATTAATAACCATTTATGATTTTAAAATTAAAGGCCCACATTTTTAAATTTTAAAAATCTTTGTTAATGTTTTAATGTTTCTCTCGGTGAGCTTGTTAGACTGGTAGCGTACATATGGTAAGCCACCTTGACATCTACAATACGGGTTGGAATTTATTAAGAGCAGTTGGTACCTACTCGAATGGAGCTTACCCAGTAGCAAAAGCCTAAATAATTTATATTGTTTCGCAAATTGCGGAAAGGATTAAATCGAATAGGATCAAGCAATGTTATTACGAAAATGTTAGCTTCATTAATACTTAATTATTTTATTGTCAAAAGCAGTGGAATCTGAGTAAGAAACAAAATGCCATTAGGCGAACATCGATCGGTTTCAAAGTAGAGATGTACGTAGTGTAAGTAGCAAGGGGCAAACATTTCTTTTTGCTTAATTTTGGCTATATTTTATTACAGCTGAAAAATACCTATATTTGTATGGAAAAAAGAACATGACTCGCTCGGCGTCTCATTGACTCCAAGGCGGGTGGTCGCCTGATTCTATTTTTACGGACTTATATATAAATCACCCATCATTGTGTTACGTAAACACTAATACTATATCTTTGTGTTGACGTAGTAAGAACATAATTTGCTACCATTATGTTTTATCTTCAGATAGTCGTAAGAGGCAACTAGGCGAATAGAGTATCCTACATTAACGAAAGAGAAGGAAATGTCGAAATAAAACTGTAAACCATGTTATTACTGTTACTACTATCACGTCATATTGTACTGCAGTAAATTATATTATTAATTATTTGAGGGTAAAATTAGAACAAGAATATGGAATTTTTTAAAGTTTAGTTCTGTAAATTAATCTTAAGTCATTCCACTAAGCCCCTAATTAGTTAATTGGTAGTCGGAATTTATTTGAATTGTAAATGACATAGGTAGATAATTAAGCACTACAATATTAAGGTCGTTTTATAGTAGGTAGAGCTAAAATATTAAAAAGTATTTTATGTGTTAATCCAGGGGTATATATATGTACCAGTAAACCAAATGTCATTTAAATTGGATCCATTGTTTAAGCATGTTTATTTGCGGGTTTGCATAGATGACGGACAATTATGAGTATTGAATCGATATATGAATTTGAAGAATATCGGTATATGGAAACTCGATAATAATTAACAGAAGTAATATGAGGTGATTACATCTAATCTAGTGAGTCAATATAGGATTGACGTTTCACTATATGTTTTTGTTCTTAAAATATAAAGATAAAGTTCAATATCTTTTACTTAAATTATGTGGAAACGATATTAATGCATAGAGTTATATACTCGCGCATCGAGCACCGACATACATTAGGTCAGGGAGAACAAGCGAGACCTTTCTTGCTTCTATTTACATTCACGAACTTGATTCTTGAACTTGAACTTCTATTTTTATTATTATAAATAATATAATATTATAGCAACTATATACTAATTATAAATTTTATATAAGGATCAATAAAACAAAAGTACATATAATGAATATGATTTAGTGGGTCGTAATACAATTTTTTTAGTGGTAAATAAAGTATTAACCTCATTCGATGCTTATTAAATAATTCATGTTCATCATAATTCACGCATCCACATTAATAATATGTGTAAGGCTAATTACAGGTAGCTCAGGACCGTTTTTTGTGGCAGTCTATGAGAGAGGCCCATGTTCAGCTGTGGATAGATAATGGTTGAGATGATGATGATGATGACGATGAAAACTAAATGCGAAAGTTGAAAAGTAACAAAAACAAAAGCAACTATAACGAGGGAATTTTATAATGTTTTTATTTAATGTAAATACTTTGTTTTGTGATTTGAATTATTAGTCTGCTGTCGACGAAAGGAGGTTAATGTTTTCGTATAAATATAACTTGTATGTATTTTTAAATTTTTACTTTGGCACAATGTATAGTCAAAACGGCCATGACATATCATTTACATGAAACTGCACAAAATGTAAAATATGTATGGTTGTTGTAAATGACTCGGTAATATAATTTTATTAATTGGAGTAATTTTTTGATGTACATATATGCACTACATTTATTTATAGATGCTATATGATGCTTATATTTTGTATAAAGAACATTGTTCGTTATGTTTAATAATATATCTAAAACAAAACGGATTATACTTATTTATTATTCTTTTTTTAACTTTCACAGAGTACGAGTAGCATTCCGACTTCGAAATTTGTAATGATGTCAAAATTTTTCTAAATAAGTTTATATAATTAAATACTTAGATATTAAAAAAAAATACTGTGATGTCATTCATTTTATTACGTCTAATCTCAGAAATCAATAGACATAAGAGAAATAAAATAAAAGTTTCAACTGACTGATCAATGATTTGCCAATAGGGTTGAAATTAGGTAGATGTATCAAGTTTTAAGACTCCATAATTTATTGTATTAATGAATATATCTATTGTAAATGAGTATTATTATTTTTTATTATTATAATATCAGACATTAACTGTCGACTGCAGAAAATAGGCCTCCCCCTGAAGGGGCAGTATTAAAAATCGTTTTCGAAAATTACGACTGGCATAATAGGTTTGCGCAGTCGAAGCTACTAATAGTATATTATACAATTGAATTTATGCTTAATCTACGGCAGATTATATGAAGTTATTACGAATTTGGTGTCACATATTCATTATTTGTATTTGACAGTTTCTACTATAAAAGAATATTACTAATATTACTTTTAAATATATACATTCCATAGTATAATTACATATGATTGCTTGAAATAAGACTACACATGCCTACTTTCGTGGTCTACTTTGTTAAAAACGTCTTAACGGTGGCTTGCTATCGACAAAACATTTTGGATATATCTTCTGTAATTATTCATTCAACTGTAATTTATAAATGACCAAAGAATATTTCTTACTATCGTTCAATTTATATGCCTCTAATGTAATCAATTTTCTCACTAGCTCTGTTTTTTTTAGTTTTTAGGTAGGTATATAATAAAACAACAAATTATTTTATGTCTTCCGTCTTTTATATGTACAATTATATCTTTATATAATATATTCTTTTGTATTCAATGATAACATTTCTAACGTTAACGTTAGTTTAGTAAACGATGTGGACTGTTGTAGAGTAAACGTTTAACTTTCGCGAATGTAAATCCAAGAACTTACGGAATATCCGTATGCATATATATCGTAGGATAACCGGACAAATCAGATGTTTGCGATAATCTTAGGACCGATAGAAATTGCAAAGTATCAGACAATTGGAATCTAAAAGAGATTTTCGTAATATCCAGAGCTATTTTCAGGATCATTGCGGTAAAAGACCGCTCCCTTTTCATAAGTATTATTGGCTGAAGCTGAGAATGAATACTCACTCATGCTCGAGTTGCCGAGCTATTAAGCACAACCATCTTCGATTATAGAGAAATGGCGGTAAGAACGTGATGTGTTTATATTACTCAAAATGCCTTTAGTAAATGAGCATTAACATTTACTTACTTTTAAGTGTGGTGGTAAAGGCATATGAAATGTCTTTACTTACTACACAGTATGAATAGAAACCCTTTCATTTGGTTCAGGGGATAGATAACCTTGATTATACGGAGTCATCACACAAGGCCACAGCAGAGCACGGCACCTGTAAACAGAATTATGTATATGGGGAGCGGGTTTCTGGCTTCTATATTTCGTTGTCCGGTTAGATTTCAGTCAAGTGTCAGAATTATATTAAAACTAAACCAGACAAATTAAAAACAATAAAACGTACTGAAAATTTGTTTTCATACTCTTTATTGAAATTGGAATTTTATTTTTCTATTTGAAAACTTATTCAGAAAACACTAATATCAGCCACTTTTTAAGACCACTTCAAGAAATTTATATTCTGTTTGCTATAATTATAATAATTTATTTTACTGATTTTTTTTAAAGACAGTGGAACAAAATACAAGTATTTTTAATAACACATCACATCACACACAATAATATCAAAAAATAGATTTGTTTTTTATTTTGTTGTCTAGCTAATCATATGAATTAATTTGATTCTCATGAAACTTTACAGAAAAGTAATGACATTCCCCAGTTAAATAAAAAAATATTTAAATGCTTTGAAACTTCTACAAACGACATCCAGATAATGTCGTTCAAAAAGGATAAGAACACATTTATTTTGCATACTGTAGATATGTACGTAAGCGATACAACGCGAACCTTAGGTACCGAAATTATCTGTTGGCTATAAAAAAAATAACAATGCTGCCTAATCTACGCACGTCGCGTCACAAGCGGGACCATGATGTTTCATTATTATTGTTTAAACCTTTATGTATGTATTGCGCAAGCTTTTATAGGAAATCGATAAAGATTACAACCATAAATGCCATTGCGATTATTTGAGGTGATAACTGAATTTGAAGCATCAATGTTTGAACTTTTGTTGTTTGATTATTTCATTTTTCTGTGTCTCTATATTCATTAAACATAAATATAATTTAATTTAATTTCGATAACAAAAGTGTAGATACTGACAACGCTTATATGATTAATGACTGTAAAATATGTCCATTTATTGTGATCACCAAAAATAAAATTAAGTATGTAATACCAAAAGTTTAATGTGTAATTATTTAAGATTTAGCAATGTCATTTACCTAATGGACTAATAGGCTACGTGTAGGATAAGGGATGTCCGAAATACCTATTTGTCAAACTAAACGTCACGTTCAGTGGACATTTATGACTAATGAATGTTTCCTTGTCCACAGGTGAGGTGATGGATTTGATGGCGCTTGTGGGCTCAGCTGTCAACTTTGTGCTCTACTGCAGCATGAGTCGACAATTCAGGTCCACATTTACAAGACTAGCACGGAAGGTTTTGCCTCTTCCGAGACCAGAGGGTGAAGCTCTAGTTTCGCTAAAAGCGTAGCGTTCGCAAGTTCCCGCCACTTCGGTTACACATCTCTGAATTGATGTCAATACTGAAGTAACAAGTGTGCATTTAAAATATTAAGGATTATGTAGTGATATAAGTACAGTGATCAAGTTTTAAAACATTCGTGATAGGTATGGAAGTATTTTCAATTTTATCTTTTTAGAGTTCTGGAATCTTTTAATAATCAAGAATAAAGACTAATATAATAACTCACGTGTTCAAGTTATTTGAATGCTCCGGTTGGTACTTAAATAATACTTGTGTGTTTATATTAAACCCTATTATTATATCGGTTGCATATGATAAAATGTAGACAAAATGGTAGATTCGTGGCGCCTACATTAATAGCACATTATGTTCTAGAACCCTTTAATTAAATGGAGATTACGCCATTAACACATAAGTCAATAACATTAAATTGTTTATAGGCTTTCTGGGGTCTTCCATTTCGCTTACGCATAAATCTGAGAAGCCAAAAGTATCGGATAGAAAGAGATGCTAAATAACAGTGAACAACAAGCAACGATTACCATCTTCCATTAGGTGGGCCTTCAACTTGTTTATTATTCAAAGTTGTTTATAAATTTTCCACTCCACTGACATAGAATCAGCGGTGATGTCCAAAATTTACTTGCATCAATTCTGAGAACGTTATCATCACCAGTTGCATTTTATATTTGGTTTTAGCTTTTTCATTATATTTGTTTAAATTTATTTACAAGATTACGTTTTTCTTGTGTTCTTCATTAAAAAGATGTGTGTGATTTAGATATAAAAATTAAACAAAATGTTTAATTTTTATATCTAAATTTAGAGTAAAAGACTAAGTACTAAATCTAAATTCAGTCTCAAGTTAGTTGCATAATTGTAATATATATTAAAAAAAAACTATTGAAAAGACAAACATAAAATCTTACTTATTATTATTTGATTATCATTGACTGAAACTATTTAAGTTTATTTATTTTATAACGTTCCCTTTCAAAATTGTATAATAAGAATCGTTAATTTTCATTTTCCAATAATCAAAGTATTAGCTACAGTATTTTTTTTCTTTTTATGACTACAACTATGATAATAACTAGATACTTGATAAATCAATGTTTTCATAGGCACAATTTCAAATTATTTTGATTAGAGAGTAAATTTAAAATCTTGTATCATTTGCTAATAAAATTTTCATGCCTAAGAATCGCAACAGCATTTTTTAATTAAAGATGAAAAACTATAAAGTCTAACAGGAGAATTTAATATTATTATAATTCTAAGAATGTTATGTACAGCGTGTAAATTACTAAAAAAATATGTCATATATCTAACTAAAACAATAATTGGAAGCTATGCACGTACATTATTCAGCGCAGGTTTTTCTTCCTAATTTTTATTTTTAAGATGCTTCATTTGTTCTTGACCTTTACTATTCAAAGAAATTAACTTTAAACGCATAGATTATACTTTAAGGATCGAATTTTAATATATTTTTTTCATATTTTTACTATCCTAATCTGGGAATAACATTCTAAAAGTAACCTTTTGAGAGATGTAACGCATTAAAAGGATATTACGATGTTGCGATTTTCAGCAAGGAGGGTCACTTAAATACATTAGAATCGATTTAGGCAGGGGATTTATTAAATTAATAAGATCATATCTGAACATAAACATAACATTTTATTATCCCTTAGTTGCTTCTTACAACATTAGTCATAAAAGAAGTAGTAATATTTACACATGGTGTTCATTTCATCATCATCCGGGTCATAATTATCTTAATACTCGTGTAAATTTATTAAAATAATGACGCAAGTCCAATGTCAGTATAATGTTTTATAGTATCTTACATAATTTAGAAATAAACAAATGACATATTATCGTTTCCATCCGTATTTATAATCCAATACAATAACCATAATTTATTATAATTTGTTCCCCAATAAAACCCCATACATCATTATTTTTTAAATAAAATATTATTGTTATTTATGTTACAATATTCCATGGGTACGAATATATTTAATTATATAAAGGCAGGTGCTATTTGTAATAATTAATAAATTTATATAAAAACGTATTATTATTAAAATATGTTTAGAGTGAGTAATTAATACAATATTTATTTTAATTAGAAAGAGTATTTGTAGTAGACAGAATAAGTATTTAATGAATTCTGAAAAATAGATGAATAAATATTTGAAACCAAACAGAAACGTACTTATATGTTTTAGAAGTATTAATTTTTTTTTAATTGAGGCAAATAGTTATATTTAATCGTAAATGAATTGTGCAATATTTCAGTAGATTTACTCCGTTCAATATTGTACCTATTCTAGCATGTGTATGTAATATTCATTGTCTTGTCTAAATTATGATCAATTCACGAATTTGTAAAATATGCGTTTCTGGTATTATATTATTAAAGAATTGAGAAAGGTGCTTGATATATTAAGGTAAGATCTTAATTTTTATAATGAAAATTTGAACCAAAATTCTTAATAGCTATAGGTTTTAAAATGTATATTAATGTCGGTGGTAAATTATAAAATTGTATATAATGTATTATGTCGAAAGTACATGTCATTAAATTTAAAATAAATTCGTAGAAAATCTCAGCTAAATACCAAATGTTTATTATTATGCTCTAAAATTCTTTCGAATATTGGTATGGTATACTTATAATATGATGTTTATTTATTTTTATTTTTTTATTTATTCTTTATTGTACACAAAAAAAATATTACATATAATATATATAAAATAAAGGTGTACAATAGGCGAGCTTAACTCTGTAAGAGTTCTCTTCCAGCAAACCCTGAGTGGAAAGGAGCATTAATTATTTATTAGCGGGCAGTATGCGTACAATAATAGAAGGAAACATTATTGATGTTTCTATTAAAACATATGAAATATGTTGACTACATAAATAACTCATACAATTAAAATCAAAATAAATACATATCTGTATACATATACATATATACATAGACATAAAATATCTCTTTACATACAAAAAAATAGGTACATATACATACATAGACATAATAAGTTTATGAGGACAGAAGATGCTCTTTTAATCTGCTCTTGAATATATTCAGCGATTGACTTTCACGAATATGCAGTGGAAGAGAGTTCCATAGTCTAGCCGCATGAACCGTAAATGATCCACTATAGCATGAGGAGGTATGAGGAGGGATTTTAAGAATAAGGGATTTACTCGACCTACTGGACATGCCAGTGGGGTCAAGGAAAGTGAAACGTTCACAAAGATAAGATGGAGAGGAAGAATTATACAGTACAGAATACAGGAAAGATAAAAGATGAAAATCACGACGTTGACGAATTGGGAGCCATTTTAATATACTTCTGTAAGAGGAGACATGATCGTATTTTCTAAGTCCATAAATAAAACGTATGCATAAATTCTGTAGCCGCTCCAACCTATTTAATTGTTCCTCTGTGACATCTAGATAACATACGTCAGCATAATCTAGAAGAGGTAGTAATATTGGGCGAGTGTGATTTTCGTTTCAATGGGCAAAAATTTCTGAAAACGTTTGAGCGAGTGAAAAGAAAAGTATAGTTTCCTTTACTCCATTGATATGCTCACCCCAGGATAAATTACTGTCGAACATGATTCCAAGATTTTTTGCACTTCTAGCATACGGAATTGGAGATTGCTCATAGAAAATAGAAGGTAAAACATCAATATCAAGAGCACTATATCTCCGATGCCCCCCGATTATTAATGCCTGAGATTTACGGGGGTTGACTAGAAGTCCGTAGGATTTTGCCCAATGGGATATTTTATTTAAATCATGGTTTATATGATCAATAGCCTCAGAGATGTCACAGAGTTCAAAGTGTTGGTATAGTTGCAAATCGTCTGCATAGAGATGGTAGGGAGAAGAAATTACTTGAGTAATAGCATTAATAAATACTGAGAAAAGAAGCGGGGAGAGAACGCCGCCTTGTGGGACTCCAGATGCAACCTCACACCAATCTGAGTATACCTCATCATAGCGTACGCATTGCAATCGGCCCCGAAGATATGAATCTAACCAATTGATTACAGGTGGAGATATGTTAAGAGATGAAAGGATACTTAAAAGAATGTCATAGTCAACAGAATTAAAGGCACTGCTGAATCCAATAGAACAAGGAGTGTCAGGGAGTGGTTGTCCATAGCCCAGCGTATATCATCAGTTACTTTGACAAGTGCACTAACTGTGCTGTGACCAGGACGGAAACCAGATTGATAAGGACTCAGCAAGTTATGGCCAGACAAATAAACGGATAGTTGCTTGTGCACAATGTGCTCCAATACTTTAGATAAGGTGGGAAGTATTGAGATAGGTCTCAGGTCAGAAATAGATGTGGGATTGGATGTTTTAGGGATAGGAATAATGTGTGCTTTCTTCCATAGCTCGGGAAAAGAGCATGTGTCTAAAGAAAAATTAATTATATGAGTAATTATTGACAATAGTTCATCAACAATGGGTCGTATCATTAGAATGCTCACACCGTCTGCACCCGAAGCTTTGGAAGAGATATTGAGGAGACATTTCTTAACATCACACTCTGTAACCATGCTGAAAGAAAAGGGATTACACTCGGGTCTAGGCATTTTCAGAAGGTGATCAATAGTAGTATTTTTGACATTATTGTCTAGGTATATGGGTGATTTATTCATACTCATATTACATTTATTGCACATGAATAATTGTATTCCTTTTTATAATTAGGTATTTTAATTTTAATTATGAATATAATTTTTTCCATTTCTATAAACTTTATATATTATGTTTTAAAACTACAAGGATCTTTTTGTATATCAATATAGCCAAAGTCGCTTAGTCGACGAGATGCGTAGTAGCAACCATAATGTAAATATATTTATGATATATTTACTCTGTATTTATTATATACAATAATGTGGAGGATTTGTAATAAATATATTTATACGTAACAAGGAATTTATGACATCGTTAAAATATAAATTCTAAAAAACAGGTTAGAAACGAAGAAACATAAATATTCATTAATATTAAAGTTAATATTATATTATATTGCAGTTAAACATTTTTTTTTCATATAAAAATATTTTTTCTTATATGAACTACTTATTTTCATTAAATAACATAATACTGTATTATGGATATAACTATCTATATGTGTATGTATAACACCGTACAATAATAGATAATCTATCTGAATACCTAAGATATAATTTATTGCGGTACAACTAAAGCCATCATCGGTCGCCTATTAATCTCAAAATAGTATTATATAGGTGCTATCAATTAATAACTCGGACTAAAACATGAGTAGCAATCGTTTCAATTAACCAAGTTTGTAATCAGTACAAACGGTTGTGGTGCCAACTTTATACATCATGTGGGTGGGTCTTCATTAAACCTGTTCGAGCATAAACATTGTGGTTTATTGAAGAATAAGACATTACTGAAAAATAAGTAGTAAATTCTCTATATAGGTAATAGCGGTAGTAACGGATAGTGTAGTTAGAGTTTCATGTTCAATAATGTTTTTTTTTATATCCCAAATGTGTAGTTGCAGTATTTTCCTGGAAATTCATTGAATCGGCTCAAAATAAGAAAAAAAAACGGTGGTATTTTAGTGACTTTTATTACACAAGCCGTCATTTCACTTATTTATATTATTAAACACTAAACTGTTATTTTAAGACATTTATGTATTAGTATTAAAAATAGTCGGCAGCCGGCTAAGTTTTTTTGGACCATTTAGATAAATTAATGATTTTAAAATTTCGACGTATATTCTCTGCGGAAAGTTGTTCTGTTTTTGAGGTCAATAATATTTATAATAACAGAAAGAGTTCCTTAAATTGTGGTATTATTAGCATTGAACATTCCTCAAAAGGCAGGTCGACGAAATATTGAGTATAGATTTAATGTAATAAATCTATACTCAATATTTCGTTCGTCGCAAAATATTCAAATTGGGTTTAGGTAATAGACACTAAATTGCTGTATGTTGTATTATCATATTCTTTTTGTTATAACAGGTATAATCCGAGAGCTATGTCTATGCATGTATTTTGCTCCATCCATTTTATAAATTCATCTCATGTACGCTCGCTACTGAGGTTCTTTCTCGGAAAGTTATATTAAAGTTTTAGTACTTACTGTTTTACAACCAATCATACAGGTTATATTCTTGCAGGATGAAATATAAGTTTTATTGGTTCTTTTATTCTGTGATTGTCGATATAAGTATAGTAATTAAAATGTGTTTCAAAGAAAAAGTTAAATATATTTCATTTATATGCTGTTCAAGAAAATAAGGTATAATTTGATAAACACATTGTTTTAATAGAAGTTTGTGTGTAAGTATTGATGTACTCGTACCTATACCACTGAATAACTTTTATAAAACTATAGATATGGCTAATAATAGGCATATAAATTTAAAGAGTGTAGATATCTAACTTAATCTAAATCAAGAAAAGGTTCTTAAAACATTTACATAAGAACTAGCGATATTAAGATTACGCGTATGAAGTCGTGGGCAAGAGAATCTTGAAATATACAGTATGTTATTTAAAGAAATATTCGCGGATTTTTTTTCTATTTTAAACTGTTTAAAGAATAAATTTCGTTATTTAAAATATTGTATATAATAGACATTTACTCCAAGTAATAGTATAAAATTCATTTGGTACAAAAATAATATATGTACCTGTATATGTATAAGCAGCAAAGGAGTGCGTGCGGCTTAATCCTTAGAATCCCATATTATGTTAAAGTTATCAAAGGGAGCTTTTATCCAACTTCAAAAAGGAGAAATGGATGTTTTATATGTATATTTGAAAAGTGAATGTTTTTTTGATGAAAAGTATTCCACGCCTATGTCGGTCGAATTCATTCCAATTTTATCAAAATTGAAGTCACTCTTTTCAGAAAGTCATTGGTGCAGAATAATATTTTTATTTTACTACGTTTTACGTCTACGAAAAAAATTTTGTTAGTGAAAATATATTACATATTTTATATATGTATATTTATATGTATATTAATTAAATTATATGTTTATATATTAGTTTACTTATATGTTTATAATATACAAATATGTTAACTATTATATTTAACAAATTTCTTAGCTTATAGGTGCATCGCTTATCTACTTTAATTTACCCAATTGTTAACTAGTAGAGAACATCTTTCTTTATACTGTATATTAAAGTTTAAATAAACATTTGTTAGCGATGAAATGTAGCACGCAAAAAATAAATATAGACGCGAATAGATACCTGTAGGAGATGGCATAATCTAATAGTCTGTTTTTAATTTTCATAAAATTTAAAATGGAAAATAAAGGAATTTAGCGTATGAAATTGTATTAAGTACTAAAAAAATATTTTCAGTCATGGAACAGTTATTATATATTTGTCGATAACAGGATAGAACGAACAAACATATTGAATACTCAATTATAAATTGCTTTTGCCTTATAATATTACTATTACTTTTAATATACTTTTCATTTAAGAGTTTCTTCTTGTCGGTGCAACTAATTCATGCATCTTCCTCCAGCCAGCTCTATCCCAGGCCATATCCTTTATGTCCCTATACGACATGACGCCTAGTGTTTCCTTTATCTGTCCCATGTAGTTAATCCTCGGTCTTCCTCTTCTTATTTTGCCCTCTATCGTTCCTTCTTACTTATATAATAAATATATAAATTGTACGACAAGATAATGATGCCGAGGTCCACAGTCTCTACTCTACTGTTTCATTTAAAATCTTTGTAGGTAAAGATAATAGAATGGGAAATTAACGAAGCGTAATAATTTTATGTTAAACAGATTGCCCCTTGTGTAAAAATAGGTTGAATTAAATAAATTATCAGGAAGTCCACATTAATAATGTATTACGATAAAAAGAGAAAGTTAGCTAATTATTAATGATGCATTAGCTGAAATAAAATGTTAATTTTATAATCATTAAATATAATAATTATTTACCAAGAAGCAGAATTCAATATATATGTGGGTTAGTTACTTATAAAAATTATTGATATAGAAATAAAAAAAAATGACATAATAAAATGGATAAGTGCAATAGTTTTTATATTTGTTGTCATTAAGGTAAAAACGCAAGTTTGTATTTAAAACTATATTGATCATCTGATTATACTAATATTATAAATATTAAAGATTGTAAACGTATAAAACGTTTCGATATAAACGTGGTACAATTTTACCAAGTGCCAATAAATCAATCGTTTAAACTGCTGAATAGATGCGTGATGCGTAATGTAGATAATTACACAGTAACGTGTCTAAGTAACAATATATGTATATCTGAATCGTCTACCATTTTTATTTATTGGATTAATGTAAAATATACCTATGAGTATATAAAGAGCAATAGGAATCCCCAAGTAGAAAATGAAATCACGTTTTCCTTTTGAAAAGGGCTTCCTGCATGAAATATGGTATATGGTTTTT